GGTGTAATGGTGGTAGGAGTGGTTGTAATGGTGGGGGTTGGTGTTGGTGGTGGTGTGTGGTGGTGTGTGGTTATGTGTGGTGGTGTAATGGTGGGTGTGTAGTGGTGAATGGTGTGAGTGTGTGTAATGGTAGTAGATGTGTAGTGGTGGTGTAATGGTGGTAGGTGTATAATGGTGGTGTAATGGTGGTAGGTGTATAATGGTGGTGTAATGGTGGTAGATGTGTAGTGGTGGTGTAATGGTGGTAGGTGTATAATGGTGGTGTAATGGTGGAGATGTAGTGGTGGTGTAATGGTGGTAGGTGTATAATGGTGGTGTAATGGTGGTAGGTGTATAGTGGTGGTGTAATGGTGGTAGGTGTATAGTGGCGGTGAAATGGTGGTAGGTGTATAGTGGGGTGTAATGGTGGTAGGTGTGTAGTGGTGGTGTAATGGTGGTAGATGTGTAGTGGTGGTGTAATGGTGGTAGGTGTATAGTGGTGGTGTAATGGTGGTAGGTGTGTAGTGGTGTAATGGTGGTAGATGTGTAGTGGTGGTGTAATGGTGGTGGGTGTATAGTGGTGGTGTAATGGTGGTAGGTGTATAGTGGTGGTGTAATGGTGGTAGGTGTATAGTGGTGGTGTAATGGTGGTGGTGTGTGGTGGTGTAATGGTGGTAGGTGTAGTGGTGGTGTAATGGTGGTGATGTGTGAGTGGGTGTAATGGTGGTAGATGTGTAGTGGTGGTGTAATGGTGGTAGGTGATAGTGGTGGTGATGGGTAGGTGTTAGTGGTGGGTAATGGTGGTAGATGTGGTGGTGGTGTATGTGGTAGGTGTGTGTGGTGTATGGTGGTAGTGTATAGTGGTGGTGTAATGGTGGTAGGTGTAGGGAGGTATGGTGGTAGGTGAGTGGTGTGTAGTGGTAGGTGTATAGGTGGTGTAATTGTAGGTGTTAGTGGGGTGTAATGGTGGTGTATAGGTGGTGTAATGGTGGAGGTGTATAGTGGTGTAATGGTGGTAGGTGTAGTGTGCTGTAATGGTGGTAGGTGTATAGTGGTGGTGTAAGGTGGTGGTGTGTAGTGGTGGTGTAATGGTGGTAGGTGTATAGTGGTGGTGTAATGGTGGTAGGTGTATAGTGGTGGTGTAATGGTGGTAGGTGTGTATTATAGTGGTGGTGATTAAAGTAATGATGTACAGTATATGCAATATCCATTTATAGTTCACATGACCCGCCACACTGCAGTCCTGTCAGTTTACATTTACAGGAATTCATCAAATGTGGCCACTAAGCCCAGTCAGCCTGTAATCGGCGCTGTAAATGTAAACTGACTTGACTCCGGTGTACAACGTTGTGCAAGTGTCGCGGGTCATGTGAACTATGAATGGATATTGCATGTACTGTACATCATTACTTTAGCCACAGAAAAATGTGTACACAATCACTCCACCGTAGAGTCAAGACCTATTCAGGCGCTGCTCCCGCTACGCAGCTGCCCCCCTTGGCCAATGTCGGCCCATTCCCCAAGTCCCTCTCCCCGACCCATCCTCACCACCGGGATATCTACATAATCAAAAGTGACAATTTCGTTTCGGAAAGAAGTGGATCAGTGTTGAACAGTGATGAACAGTGTTTAAGCCCGTGAATTCAGCACTAGACAGTACCAGTGAGAGCCGTGACCCACCAGTGAGATAAGCACCCCTGGGAACTAACCACCATCTTCTGACCACGAGGTTCTATTCCGTCCACCGTGGGAAGAACAGAGGACCGACCCGCTATGCACCTGACTACGAGATAACACAACATCACCGAGCAGAGTGAGGTACTGTGACACCCCACACCACACGGTGTCCCCATGACCACGTGAGGTCCTTCATATCAACACCCGAGGACGAGTTACTACACCACGTGAACACCTCACCACCTGGTGTCCCCATGACCACGTGAGGTCCTTCATATCAACACCCGAGGACGAGTTACTACACCACGTGAACACCTCACCACCCGGTGTCCCCATGACTACGTGAAGTCCTCCATATCAACACCCGAGGACGAGTCACTGTACCACGGAACACCACACCACACGGTGTCTCCATGACCACGTGAGGTCCTTCAAATCAACACTCAAGGACGAGTTACCACACCACATGAACATCACACCACCCGATGTCTCCATGACCACGTGAGGTCCCTCATATCAACACTCAAGGACGAGTTACCACACCACATGAACATCACACCACCCGATGTCTCCATGACCACGTGAGGTCCTTCATATCAACACCCGAGGACGAGTTACCACACCACATGAACACCACACCACCCGATGTCTCCATGACCACGTGAGGTCCTTCATATCAACACCCGAGGACGAGTTACCACACCACATGAACATCACACCACCTGGTGTCTCCATGACCACGTGAGGTCCCTCATATCAACACCCAAGGACGAGTTACTACACCACGTGAACACCTCACCATCTGGTGTCTCCATGACCAGCCCAGGCCCGGGCCATCAACTGTAAACTATAATAATTTGTATGTTCAATCATTAGTCCTTCTTTTAGTAATGAAAACTTTTGTTAAACGACCCACCCACCCCTTGTCTTTGTATGTAATAAGTCATTTTTGTCTAATTAATATTTTCAGCCTTGAGGCTGCAGAACTTTATCAATAACCGTTAATTATTATTATTATTATTATTATTATTATTATTATTATTATTATTATAATTGGTGAGAGACATATATAATGTTGCATATACCGTGATCTACCAAACTGCTTTATAATTAGTTCTACTTAATAAGGAACTCTTTAAAACTGTTTTTCTTTATTTTTCTTAATGTAGTTAGTATTTATATTGGCACGTGTAAATAAAACCACTTTTACCTGTGCGTTGCTTATATAAAAATATCATATAGCAATAGATTTTTTCATGAATATTTATTCAAGTGTTTCTTGGACACTACTGTACTGCTCAGTGCAGGTTTCTCAGTTATTATCATAGGTGGGCGTTAGCATAAACTGCAGCAATTATATCACGTAATGTGAAATAATTTTTAGTTCAATATTTTTTATGTTCTACGTGCAAAAATAATGATTAATTTTATGTTAGTTTGATGAAGGTAAAAATTTTTATTTGATTATTATAACTGGTAAAACATCCCTCAACTACACCCTGGTGAGAGGTGAGATACTGAACACAGGAAGCATTATATCGAAATCAGTCTTCAGTGTTGTGAAAATTACCGACAATTTAGTAACGCACATGTAATTTGATCTATAGTTTGCTGATACACTAAACTATTGTGTTTTAAATGTACAAGGTGATGGCACCATGCAATAAAAAAACATGAAAATCACTGGCCTTTGTTAAAAAAAAAAATAGCATTTCATCACTACACTACCTATAAATATAGTGCAGCCCCTGAACATAACCTTGACCTAACAAATGGTGGTCATTCCCTCCACAAGTGTCGTGGGAACTTTTCTAAATACAATATGTGGTAAAAGTAGTTGTGAACTGGCCCTTTAACCGTTGATTCCTTCTGGGTTAATGAGGCTGGATCATGTATATTATATAGGGCTTTAGTAGCCAAACCCAATTGTCTGTTATCTATTTATTGATAGGTAGGCAGTAGGTAGTAGGCAGCTATCAAACAGGGAGGTACTACCGCCTGGGAAGATATTGGAAGCATAATGTGTTGTCTAATGGTAGACCCTGCTGCCATATGGCATCACGAAAATTGTGACCAAGTCTCAGGTTGCTAATCTAACTTTCTGCCTCATTTACACACAATTGCAGGGTCTCAATTGTTTCTCTTACTTTGACAACACAACATACATATTTTGTTTCTCACTTTTGATCTTTTTTTTCATTTGTGTATTTCTTTATGGTTCTTTAATATTATTACTATTACATTTTCGCCCCCCAGGCCCTGATGTGGGTCAGTGACCTGTGCCCAGGTGGGCTAATCCCTTAAAAAAATAAATAAAAAAATACAGTTCCAAGTGTCTATCACCGTAACTTAATCACTGTCCGGTTGGTGTGAGGTGTTGAGTGACGATCCGCAGGCAACCGGCTTTTAAATGCTGACCTTAACTGTCTCTGAGCCGCGCCTCAAGGAACTTACCCATCACGTGATGTGACCGTGTCACCTCATAGCCAGTGGAAAGTTACAGGGGGTGACATGATTATATAAACCCAATGTACTGCCCTGACATTTTATAAGAACTAAGGGGCTAATACAGTTGTGGTACCAAAGGTGAAGCTTATGTCACCTGATAACGATAAGAAATTAATAAATATTTAAAACATTAACCGCTCGCAATGATCATGACCTTGACCTAGATTTTCAAGGTCATCCTAATGCCCGATATTGTGGCAGTCCTTCTAAATTGAATAAGTCTCCCCTGAGCTTTATGTGTAACAAAATTGATGCTTTCTTCCACTTTTGTAACGATTTCTCAAAAAATCTGGCTTAATCAGTGTCTGTCAGAGCGGCTCCCCTGGTGAATTATTCCACTTATTTATAAATTATAGAATTTTATTACCTCGATGGAGTCTATAAACTGATATACAGTAAATGTGTTGTCTTTAAGAATTCAATATTTTTCAGGGAGTTTTGCTTTTAATGGACCTTTAAACCCTGGCCCGGGTCTAGTGTCCCTGGCCGTGTGTACCGCAGCAGCTGCCTGGCCCGGGTCTAGTGTCCCTGGCCGGGTGTACCGCAGCAGCTGCCTGGCCCGGGTCTAGTGTCCCTGGCCGGGGTGTACCGCAGCAGCTGCCTGGCCCAGGTCTAGTGTCCCTGGCCGGGTGTACCGCAGCAGCTGCCTGGCCCGGGTCTAGTGTCCCTGGCCGGGTGTACCGCAGCAGCTGCCTGGCCCGGGTCTAGTGTCCCTGGCCGGGTGTACCGCAGCAGCTGCCTCTATGAGCCATACTGTGTCTCGTAACTTTAGCTTGTATGGGTATTTGTTGTGTTCCAACAGACGGTGATAATACTAACCTATGTCCATTCTCTCGGCAGATGGTGTGGCGGTAGTGTGGTGGTGGTGAGGATGGTGGGCGGCAGGCATCAGTGAGGGCGGCAGGCGGCAGGCAGGTGGCAGTGAGGGCGGCAGGCGGCAGCAGGCCCCCCCCGGCCAGGATGGGCAACAAGCTCTCATGCTCGTGCGCGCCCCTCATCAAGAAGACCGGCTACCGCTACGAGGACTCCCCTTGGAACCCCGCCCGTAGGAGGGACGGCCACTTACTCAGGTGAGTCAACACCTGGGCTAGTTAGTGACTTCAGATGGCTGTTAATAGATTAAGATTACTAGCTCTCTAGCCGAGTATCTCCCTGACCATGTGGCTGTGAGAGATGGCCTGCCTAGGACTCCCTCCATCCCAGCTTTTAGGGGAACAACCACCCCATTAGGCGCTGAAGCTGGTGGGTTAGGTGACGTGTACCTGGGGCTAACAGCCTGCTGAAGTGGGTTGTAGGGACAGGTTGTCGCAGGCAGCACCCTCTTCAGGGTGTCAGTTAATGCCATATCCTTTAACTTTTATTTGACACTTAACCCTTTAGGGGCGACGGTTTCTCTCAGCTGAAAAAAATCGTTTGTCGTATGCCAGAATAAAATACCTTAATGCCAGCTGCCCTCTACAGGGTTAAGAGACGGTGTGCAGTCTGTGACTATATAGTTCATGACAAAACTAGGCTGGCCACGATTTTGTCACTGGTTAAATTTTATGCATTTAACAAAATGTCCCCCATGTGCCTAAAAATGTCCATTAGTCAGGTCAAGAAGGATAGTATTAGGGTAACTACACGTAAGCAGTTAATGTAGGATCGTATGTATGCCTGGATGGTCGTTAGGTAACCCAGGTTTTTTCTGGGAGTTAAATTGGTGGGAGTTGTGGTTACTGATGGTCTGTTAACAGTGTCATGTTTCTGCTAACAGCAATGTGGTCCTGTTAACAGAAATATGGTTCTCCCACCAGTGGTACCCTATTGTTGCCATTGAGGTACAGTAAATCCTGTTAACAGTTATCATCTCCTGTTTTAACGACCTTTAAAAACATTCCTGTTTAATCTTCTCATATTTTGAATGCCGTTGTCCTCCTGTTTTAACGGCACTATTGTTTTGTGAGGAAGAAGGGCACAAAAGCCTTAAGGTACCCTCCTCAAGTCGTAAAGAAACTTGTGATGGCTGTAAACTGTTTCTTTTAACTCCATTACTTTACACTATTATTGCTATTGTGCCTTTCTTGTCCTCAACTGTATCCCCGTTAGGTCATGTCTCCTTGGTATTTATTTTCTCTACACAAGGACCTGGGCGGCTCACTAACTCCATCGCAGTAAATAATAATAATAATAATAATAATAAGCAGCACTATGTAAATTAACCAATATTAATACAAAAGTCTGACAACCCAAGATCAACCGCCTCATGACTCCACACCCCCCCCCCCCCCCACCTGTTTGTTATAGTGTTATTATTTTTGTTAAGTGTTATTTAATGTTTATTGTGTTTGTTATTGGTGTTTCTCTTTATTCCCCGCGTTATCGAATTTGAGTAATTTCTCTTTTTTGTTATCATCATTATTTCATTCCCTTATTCATCACAAGTTTTCTCTTTATTCAAGTTTTATCGCCATTACTTTTCTTCGTCAACTTTATCAACCATTTTTCATGTCTTATCGTTAGTGTTTCTTCTTCTTCATGTTTACTTTATTTTTGTTTTATTATTATTCTTTTTATTAATTTTTCTCGAATGTTTTTGTTTGATTTAATTTATTATTGTTAGTTTGTTTGTTTTTTTATTATTGTTGTTTCTTGTTCCTTGTAACTAATTTATTTGTATTGTTTTATTCTTCTTTTGTTGTTATTCCTGTGTGTTATCATTATTATTATAAGTCGTGGTAGTAGTAGTTGTAGTAGTAGTAGTAGTAGTAGTAGTAGTAGTAGTAGTAGTGGTAGTAGTAGTAGTAGTAGTAGTAGTAGTAGTAGTAGTAGTAGTAGTAGTAGTAGTATGAACTAATTCTCACATTAACATGCTATTGTGTTTTATCGTAATGTTTTCCATAACTATTCTACTAGAAAGACCAACCTAACCTAACCAAGACCAAATTAGCCTCAAGCTAGTCTAATGTAATTCAATTCATCACAGTACAAATGAGCTTAATTTGCATTAGGCTACAATCCTAATGGGTAGGTAACATGCTGGTTGATTTAGGTTAGAGCGGTTAGGGTCGGTGGTTCGATCTCCGGACACTCCCAGTTTACCCAGCTGTATATGGGTCCCTAAGTTTACACCTTGGGAAGTGAATGCGGTCGAGTGCGGTACCGGCCATGCTGCCTACTTGTGTACCGAAGACTTAGTACACTGTGTAATGTATCCACACTGTCCCTAACGGTTAGGTTGGGGCTATTAACGAGACACAGTCCAGCAACCTCATCTCTCGGTATAAGACAAAATCAGTGTCTCCCAAGAGAAAAATTATACACTTGATATACTGTACATATAGTTACCGAGATACAATGACTTATCTTAAACAAGAAAAATTAACTTACGATCTTGGAGAAACTTGAAGCCACTTGGAAGGAGCCCAGCGGCCCAAGGGAAGGTGCAGCTGAGAGGATGGATGATCACACACCCTCGAGTGGAAAATTGGAGGGTATTAAAGCGCCTGGGAACGTTTGCCTCTGTCTTGGGAACGTTTTAGTCGCCGGGGAAACGTTTTAAGGCATCAGCTGCATGGATTTATGGATTCATTCTCAAGTATGGCGAGTCATAAATTGGGTCTCTTAAGAGGATGTGTTATGGAGGATCTCTCTCTCTCTCTCTCTCTCATTTTGCATTTAAGTGTGTTGTTGTGTGTGTGTGTGTGTGTGTGTGCGCGCGCCTACACAGGGCAGTGTAATGCGTGTAATGTGGCAGCATTTTATTAGTGTTAAGGTGCAAGCACTGCTTGCTTCCTTTCGCTATCAGCTACCGCAGCTGGCTAGACTTCGTGGTGAACAGGGAAGCAGCTTTGCATAAGTCTTCCCCTGCCAGTGCGCAGCCTCTTCACTATCAAGGCTCCGGCTGTAGGCTCCTCGTGGCAACACACGGTAACTGGGTGCCTCGTGGGCCCAGGCTAGACCAGCAGGGAATCTCGGAGCAGCAGTGGGCCCCAGAGGTACGGCGCATAGGCCCACCGGCATGTAGAGACGCCCTTGGCACTTACCAACAACTACCCCACTGCCTTGTGGATTAACCTTTGTAGGTATATGGTTATGGAAGAAAATCCGGAACGAAAATTCTGTGGTGGAGCCCCGCATCAGATAGACATGCTTACAGAGCTCCAGTAAGACCCCAACGGCGGTATAGGCGGAAGAGGTGACCAACATGGGAACCCAACGACTACACCGGCGGATAAAGGCAATGCAAGATGGACAGGCTAATAAGGCGAACCCCAAAAAACTGGGCTATCGGCAGTCCATTGCAATTTGTCATCTCCCCAGTTGTTGCAGCTACCTGCACCACTGGATCAGGAAAAAGGAGAGCCACGATGTGTGGTTGCAGCCTGTGCTCCTGCCTCACCACATAAATCACCTCAAGCGCAGCCATCATCCAGCTCATCATACTTCTCATCATCATCAAAACTCCTATACCCCCAAAAGTCCTATGGCGACGGACGAGCGGCGACATAGACAGGCAGAGATGACTGCCAGAAGTCTCTAATCACAACTCTGCACATGGGCGGCACAGATAAGATGGTCTTTTATTCACTGGAATCTAGGTTGCAGTGCAATCCGGTCCTATCTGTAAAACTGAGCAGCCCTTTCCAGGAGCCACTCTGCTCACACCACATGGGGAGGGGGCTATAAAAGGTGCCCTAAACATAGCCTGCCTAAAAAAAAATCGACCTGACTGGGCAACCTCACCCAGTAAGGTCACCATAAAAAAAAATATATATATATATATATATATATATATATATATATATATATATATATATATATATATATATATATATATATATATATATATATATATATATATATATATATATATATATATATATATATATATATATATATATATCCTCTTATGGTCGCTGCATGGAATGTCAAGACCCTTCTGGATACTGGCACAAATGAACGTCCTGAAAGAAGAACCGCCCTTGTGGCAAATGACCTGGCTAGGTATAACATCAACATAGCAGCCATTAGTGAGTCCCGGCTCCCAGACGAGGGTCGACTCACAGAACGGGGGGGGGGTCTGGCTATACCTTCATCCCTTCATCTGGAAGGGTTAGCTTGCTGCAGAGAGAAACCGCATTTGGAGTTGGTTTTGCCTTTTGTTAATCCATCCTACATAGGCTAACTGAAATGCCTGTTAGGATCAACGAGCGCCGCATGATGCCCTGAGTCCCACTGAATTACTCACATCATGCTTTCTTCATCAGTGCATACGCCCCAACACTGTATGCAGAGGATGACATCTCGGAGTGCTAGACTGCTAACCTGTATCCCCAGAGAAGATGAGGTTGTGCTCTTAGGTGACTTCAGTGCCAGAGTTGGCAGAAATGCTGACTTATGGCAGGGAACTATAGGGAGAAATAGAGCAGGCAAGTGTAATCCCAAAGGCCAACTCCTCCTCAGTAAGTGTGCTGCACACAACCTCACTATCACCAACACCTTGTTTAGGCAGGCCGATGAGTTCAAGGGTCCTTGGCAACACCCACGATCCAAACATTGGCATCTCATTGACTACATCATTGTCAGAAAAAGAGATAGCCAATATGCTCTCATCATCCGAGCCGTGCTTTGCTCAAACCACTGTGACACTGATCATTGGATCATCAGAGCCAAACTCTCCCCTCACGTTGCCTCAAAACGGCGAAGGCAACAAGCCTCCAGAAGAGGTTTTAACACCAAGCGACAGGAGGATCAAGTGGTAGAACATGTTTTCAGAGAACAATTCGACGATGTGCTGATAAAAAAACCAACAACAAGCAACCTAAATCCGAGTGCCGAATGGGGTATCCTCGACGCTGTCGTCACAATAACCTGCAGAGACCCTCGGCCAGATCAAAAGAAAACACCAGGATTGGTTTGATGAAAATAATCAGGAAATTTACGTACTCGTGAATGGTAAACGTGCTGCCTTCATTGACTGGCAGAAGAAAGAGATGGCCCAGTGCAAGCTTTGAGATCTAAAGGACGAATGGTGGAAAAATAAAGTGTGTGATAAGCAAAAATTTGCGGGTCAACACAAGATGTGCCA